GCGCTGGGCGCTGCCCGCTCCTCTCGCGCCGCCGTGGCTGACGGCAGCTTGGAGCGCAGCACTTTGTCCAGCAGAGTGCACACCCCAGAGGCGCTGTCGACAGACAGGCCGCAGGCGGGGCAGCGCTGCCCGCGCCCCTCCTCACTCCCCGCCTCCCCCTCTCCCGCGGGTGCCACGCCAGGCACGCAGGGGCGGCACACGACGTGGCCGCAGGGCAGAACTGACGGGTCCAGCAGCAGCAGCCCGCACGCGTCGCACGCGAACACCGCCGGCGGCGGCGCGGCGGGGTCGTCGCGGACGGCCGCGGCGGCGATGGTGGCGGCAGAAGTGGCGAGGGCGGGATCGACCTGCACCGCCTCCGACTGGACCTCGCGCCTGGCCTCTTCCTCTGTGGTGTGGTCACACGGGAGAGATGGCAGAGGGGTGGGGAGGTTGCTGGTGCTCTTGCAGCGACGCCGCCGGCGAAGATCTGTAAAAGAACAGTGTGCAGCCTGGCGTGCCCCTGACAACGCTAGGGCTGTGGCCACGTTGCGGGAGGCTGCATTCCGAGGCCCTTTGAACCCACCCTCTGTCTCCTGGGCGCGCTTGTTGTAGGCGTCAGGGAGCGCCGCGGCGAGCAGGGCATGAAGGCGGGGACACACGCGGGGGAAGCGCGAAAACTTGGTGCGGCAGAGGGGGCAGGCGGATGGCTCGAAAGGGTTCATGGCCTGGTGCATGCACCTGCAGGGGCAGCAGAGGGTGTGTGGATCATGTGAAGCTGCCAACATCAGAGCAGAGGGCCTCTGGGAGTGGGCACGAGTGAAAACTCCCCGTGCTGCCGTTTTGGCTGTGGCAAGCAAGCCAGCAGCAGGTTGCCGCGCTGCGCCCAGGGCCCGCTGCGGCGGCGCGCGACGTGGATGCGCTGTGAGCGCTCTTGCAATTGCCACCGCGCGGGCGCACCCACCAGAAGCATGCGGCGTGGCCACATGTGTTGACGCACGGCTTGAATAGCAGCTCAAGGCATATTGGGCAGCGCCAATCCCCCTCCTCCATCGAGGCAGAGCAGGTTGTCGCTGCGGCGCTCCTATGTCTGAACTGCACACCTGCCCTATACAGCCGAGCGCTCCGATATTGCCTCGGCAGCTGTGATGGTGCTGCCCAATCTCGGCAATGACTGCAGGCACCTGCGGCGGGAGCACGGCGTGCGGCGGGCGGTCGCCCACGGAGCTGATGCCCCGGTCACACGGTGCACACAGAGTCGCGTGTGATGTGCTTGAACACAACTAGCGTGGTAATGTAGCAGGAGCAGCCTGACAGCGAGGCTGTGCGATCGAGTTATCACCGCAATAGCAGATCAATATATAGTCACTGCAAGTCGTCGAGGTTGGGCCTTTCATTGTGCGATCACGCACCCAGCACACCAGCAAGCATCGGCCCGCGGCGTCACCAGGGCGGCACCGGTAGCGGGCTGGGCGTGCCGATCGCATGCACAACCCCCCACACAAGTGGTTTTGAGCAAGCCCACACACACATGTGATGGCCCAAGTACTTCTGCCCACACCTTGATGACTATAGTGTACATGCAGAGCATGGCGCAGTGCTGCGATGGCTTACTTATGTTGTACCATGGTTCAACTGCAGGTGGTCTCATTGCATGCCTCACAACCAACTTGCAGGCTCGCTAGCGCTGCTCAGACAGTCCCCGCCCTTGCCGCCGCCGCCTGATCCTGCAGTCTCCTGCACTCCTCGCGGTGGCCGCCCTCCTTCCAGTGCTTGCGCTGGCTGGTGATTGGAGTTCAGAGAGCGCGGAATCGGGGAGAGCAGAACCAATAAGCAGGTTGAGCAATCAATCATATGTCGAGCGCTCGTTGTGAGATCTGATTGACACCTGGACTCTTCAAACAGGATTGCTGCACCACAAGCGTTAGCAAACTCAGAGAGCCGCCGGCCCGCGCCGCCCCAGCCAGCCCCCGTCCCGCCAAAGCCACCCCCTCACCAGTCCTTCGAGCAGTAGCGCAGCCCGGGCTTGTGGCAGCCGTTGCAGGCCCGCAACTTCTGGCCGTCGTCGCAGCTCAAGCGCCCGCAGGTCACGCAGCCCAACTTCTTTTCCTCCGCCGCCGCGGCTGCAGGCCGCGCCGGCGCGCCGGCCGCCGCCGCGCCGGCGGG